TTTGTTCTGTAAACCGACATGCGTGCACGGTGAGCAAAGCAAAACAACTTAGCACCGCTATCTTAGCTAACAAAATACCAAGCAATATCTCACCACTGTCAACGCGAAATTGCTCCTGTTGTGCTTTCAAAGAATCTATTTCATACTGCTGATCCGAAAGGATCTTCTCGAGTTTGTTTTGAAATGTTTTTGATAGCTTCGATAGCTCGGAACCTTCCAACTCCTGCAGCAGCAGTGCCGCCATTTTTCCTACAACAACGCTACGAGCAGGCGCAGCTTGCGATTTGAGTTTGTCAAGGGTACTAGAGCATTATGGGAGTTGTATTTCTTACATTTAAACAAGCACGTGTAGCTAATATGACTTGGCGTACTGATTATGTTGTTTTGTAAAATTTTATTTATTATAGATATTATATAGTATTAAAATAATTGGAGACAAAACAGAAACATCAGTGATAGAAAGTTTAAACTTTTAGGTTACACAAATGTCTTCATGTTTTTTCTATCAAGGAATAGAACTGGATTCACCTCCCTATTAGCTTTTTTTTTTTTTTTTTTTTAAAGAAAGCTAGTAAGTAATTTTTTGTAAAGATTTTTTGTTACTAATGTTTTTGGAATCCACTGTTTTCAAAGTCAGGAATAAACCTTTACGTTCAATCTATGTAATTGAATGTATTTTATAGGATGGAATAACTTGTTGCATGGCAATTTTCCTATGAATTAATAGGTAAATAGAATTGTGGACGTTAACCATTCATTTACTAATGGTATTTGTCCTTTGTGTTGACCTTTAGTGTTGACTGAATGCACTTTTATTTAGTCTGAATACCCACGGCAGATGGCGCCAATACATACTAAAAGACAACTCTGCGAGTGTGTGTATTTGTGCATGTACAGGATCAGTATGTGTGTCACTAGAGGGAGGATGTAATTCAGAAAAATTGTGTTTTTTTGGAGAAACTTACATTGTGCACTCTTGGAAAGTCCAGAGATGACTGAGCAGACCAACCTCTGACAAATTCCAGTTATCACAATAAGGTGAAGAACAAAAATACAAGACCGCAGAGCAAAACCTCTCATCAACCACAACATTGATATTGGATGATGTGATCCATTCTCATGAGGCAGTCTTTGGCCTTGTAATAAAATATCATGCTATACTTAATGGACATCAGTTTAATGAAGTGCTTTATGTGCAGAGCTAATATACCACTATAAATCCTGAATATCATCAACATGGCTAAACGTCATTTATTTTTAACTTGATGTTGTTAAACTTGTAAACAAAGCACAAGGTTAAGGGTTATGGATAAAACTATGTGTCCATCTATCTCTGTACAATACTTGTCAGTATGAGCTGCAATGTAATTATAATATTGTTATGATGTTAGCAACCATGCACGAAAACATGGAGGTTTGTGGGGTTTAATGACATGAAGAAAAGTCAATGTTCTACAATTACACACATAATGCACAATGGATAATGCTGTTTTTAAAGCTATATGACTAAACATATTATTATTTGAAGATACAAATTTAATAAATTAGGGATTTAGTATTCAACCCTAGAAATACATATCTGGCAGTGAAGAGAAAGCTTTTAAACATTTTCACCATCATTTAGGTTGATCAAATTTTCATAAAGTAAGAGGCATTTGGACTAATGACTTCTGTATTTTGAAAATCTTGGTTTGGGCTTTGAAAACATTTTTTCTTTTCATGTGTATAACTACCCTATAGATTCAGTTAGATTTTTTTTTTGTCACTATACATGTGGGCTTTAATTACTTCCACAGGTAGGTATTTAGACCCTGTCTGGACCAGTTTTGACAAATACCTCAGTGGTTTATTGGTTCATAATCAAGGTGATACTTCTATGAGACAATAACTGATGGCACGAACACCACAAACACGAGAAGTGTTAAGGCAAAGGTTTGCTCCAGGCAGCGGAACTATTTTCTTACACTTGTCTGTCACACCTGGATACAAAGATGTACAGTAACTTATAGCAACACTGCTGTGCAATCATCCTAATCACGCATTAAGTCAGCCATGTTGGTTGTTGTCAGCACTTGTTATACAAGTGAAACCTCAATGGAGGACACTTAGCAATGCAATCTATGGTGTTTGTGGCAGTGGAGATGTGATTAATGTCGACAAGTTCACATTTTGACTTCTATATAACAGTGTGACAGAAATTCAGAAGAACGTTGGATGTGTAATAATTCATCCCTTCCTCCATCCATTCATTACTCCACTGTCCGTTCATTCAAACAATAAATAAAGTCAGCCTAGCTTGAGAAATACCAGTAAGACCAACCCAAAGTTGGACTCATACTCGTGATTCTTATTTCTTCTATCCTCCCTCTTTTAATCTTAACAGTTTGACCACTCCACCTTTATTTTTTAATAACAAATTTGTACTCTGTGTTGATGTAGTAGTTGCATCATATCTACTCATTCCACTCATATGAAATGTGGTTGTATGTAAAAATACATACAAGTTTAATCTCATCTGGAGTAAATGAGTCAAACAAAAATATTTACATCATCACTTCTTCACTGCATACAGTTGTCGTTATGTCATCTCACCCCCATCCACTGTCCATATTTGGTCACAGGGACTATGCGTGCCTCAAACCAGGTCTCCACTGCTGTGTCATGACATCACCTCAGTGCAAGGGGCTTTATGTGGGTGAGCTAGAGCGTGGCAGCTGGACTTTCCAAGAGTCCAAACACAAAAATCACAAAAGGTCTCCAATTAGCGAAGCAGAATAAACAAAGGGGGACTCAAAACGTCAGAAATGGGGGTGGGATCAGGTGGTCATTGCAGGGGTAAACACAGTGGTAAACACTGGTTTGAAGTGAGTGATGAGTCGAATCATGCTCTGGGGCCTGTTTCAAAAACCAAGTTCAAAGAGGTATCTGGGTAACTTTGCTGGGTAAACCTGAAATCTATGTTTGGAACATGCAAAAGCTGTTTTTTTTTAATTATTATTTTACTCAGAAAAGTTATCCAGATAACTCAGTAAACCTGCTTCTTAGAAGAGGCCCATGCTTTGATGATGTATATGTTCTGCAGAAAATCAAGGCAAAATACACCTTCTCACTTAACCCTTGCGTGGACTCTCATAGTAGCTTCTGTGCACTCATTGAATCCTGGTCCCTCTTTGAAGAATAACTTTGAAGAAACTGCACATGACAAGTATGGCTGAAGGTCAGAGGCATATCCCTGGGTAGAAGCTCCTTTAGTTGGTGTGAACTCTGTGTGCCTGTGGTGGCACACATACAGTGTTGAAATTGTGAAAATGGGCTGCCACTCTTGCATACAGTAGTCTACTATAGCATACTATAGTCTAGGTCAGCAGCAAAAAGTCTGACTGACATGTTTGGGCACCTCAGGAAAACCTCTCAGTCCTCAGGAAACTCTTGTGGGAGGTATCCAAAAGATTTTTGATAAATCTTAGACACGCTACTCTGTGAAAGTGAGGTGTTACCAGCTAGAGGCCATGCAAGTCGTGCCAGATGAGGTACTTTGGAAATATGTGTCAGAGTTCCCTAGATTTTGCATTTTGAGTAATTAGAAATCAAGAGCCCCTTTGCCGGCAATATATAAGAGATTATTGGAACTTACATTAAAACACATAAAAGTATACATCTTTGAATGTGTTTGGAGGTGCTTTTGCAACTGTAGCCTATAGAGTTGGCACACCGTGTATAACCACATATTAATCAATTTAACGGTGAGATTGAGATGACTATAATCCTTTTATTTGTCTTGGGTGTAAAAGCACTCAGTATACCTCTACTATTAAAGCTACAACCTTAAGTCTGTAACAGGATTGGCCCGATTACTACAGTATAGATCATTAAATAACAGTCTTTGAAGCATTACATGCTGCTATCTGATATTATGACTATGTTAAGCATGGCAAAAGTGAGGCTGCATAACTGTAGTTACTTACAAATACCTTCAATAAGAAGTCATTAGAGCCAATGGTCGGCCTTAGTTGCAAAACTCTGTTTCCTACAGTAGCAGTGGATATGTTTGTGTGGTAATGTGTCTGGCAGTTTCTAAAGATATGTGCAACTTAAATTAATTCACGACATATCAAATTGTGGGTTAGTATTGCAAGTCTTTACTTAAAAATCTTAACCGGCTTTTATGTTGTGGTTTTGGCATGCCTGCAGCACAATGGGGTCACAGGGGAGTCAAGTCTATGTTACAAGACTAACAGATGAGGTTATTTAACATGTGAGAGCCTGCGTTAACAGGAGAAAATAGAGACGTCTTCTGCAATGGTATGCAACCCTGCAACCAAGGGTGGTGCCTCTGTTTTGAATATAGTGTTTTGTTATTTAACTGTTGTAAAAAAGTTGTATGGTCCTTTACATAAATATTTCTAAAGCAAGTTAGGGTGATTCAGACAAAGTTTTGTACCAAAGGCAGGCCCTGCTCCTGGAGTGTAGATGGTGATGTATAGACAGCAGTTGAATGGTGGAGCCTCATTCTTGGCCGAAACTCCTTCTTTGTAATTGCAGTGATTGAGCAGGACGCTCAGTCTGTAAGAAGGTATCACAAAAGTAGTAGTTTTAATTATGAGCTTATTTGCTTTCTTGTCGAGAGTTAGATTAGAGGATTAATACCACTCTCATGACTGTATGCTAAATATGAAGGTGCAGACAGCCATTGGTTAGTTTAGCTTAGCTTAGCACAAAGACTGGAGACCAGGGGACTGCTAGCATGGCTCTGTACATAGATGAAAAATCCCCCTACCATCTTCTTTAAAGCCCTATAGTGAACACTTTACATTTCATTTGATTTATCAGTACAAAAAACTAGGCACAAAAACAAGTTATGGTTACTTTCTGTACTTCCTTGTTAACACCGTATTGTTGCCAGGCAACCAGCAGACATTCTAATATCATAAATCAATAAAATGCCACGCAAACTTTACTATTTTATGTAATTTTATTTTCAGTTTTAGTCAACATATATATTAGGCTATGCTTCATCACATTCCAGCGTGCAGTTTAAAATAGTGACCAAATCCTTGGAAAAATCAAAAATGATGCTGATGATATTGACCTTTGTGCTGAGTCAAGGATGAGGCTGAGTCATATCACACTAAAAAACCCATGACCCATGTCTTCCTTTTGTATATTTCCATGAGTTTTTCCACTTTCACAATAAAAAATACACAGAACTGGATGAACGCCTCACTGATGATGGTAAAATACCAGTGGCTCATTAATGTTTTCTCCAGACTCCAAAATGCACTTCCCACCACATTTGCTTAATTAAGTAAGAAGGTAGGACTAACAGCTGGAAGACATGTTTACACAAAAATGTTTCCACATCCAGAGTGCTTTGGCCTCTAAAGTCTTAAGAGCCCCTGTTCCGTTTAGCTCATTAAAGGTCTTTTCAATTTTGGCAAAAAAAAAAAAAAAACTATACATGAGGATGTTACTTTGTATGAACCCTTTATAAAAATTATAAACTTGTACACAGATCAACCTAATCAAATGCTACAAAACATTTTTGAATTGATACATTATTTAAGTACATACATATTTAATATTTACTATCATTACAAAATAAAACATTGCAATTATTTTAAATGACAGCTAACTGGTTTTGGCTTTTGTTTGGGTGGTGGAGAGATTTCTGATACATTTTTATGAATAAATAAACACTGTATCTCATCACCTTACTGTAACCCACAACTGTATTTGAGAGCACCCATATCTGGGACATCAAGGTTTTTCTCCTCAAGAGCTAGTGGAGATGTTACGGTTTTTCTATGTTCTTATGTCATAAGTTGTCTTTCACAGATCTCTATCCAGCCCTCCAGGACAGCTTCCTTTCTTTCTCAGAAGCCCCAAGCAACTCTTTGTTTACTCAACATTGTGTTCTTCCTCATCTTCCATACTTGGCAGCTCTTTTTCTGGCAGCAGCCCATAGCTGTTGAGGAAGGCCTCCACATCAGTGGCGAAGAACTCCTCATTCAGGTGCTGTGTACAGGCCAGGAAGTTTCCTAGTAGTTCTCCAGCCTTGTACACCAGCAGTGTAGGCAAAACCTCATCTGAGAACCGCTCAGCAGCGCCGGATGACACGGCATCAATCCTGCAGAACTTTACAGTGGGGTACTCAGTGGCCAGGCAGTCAAGGCAGTTGTTGAGCTCCTCACAACCTTTGACCCCAACCTTGTAGATGTGAACAACCACTACTGTGCTGTAATGCTCCTTCTCTATGACTTCTAGGAAGGCCTCTCCACTGTCCAGGTCATGCACACCATCAAACTTGGGCCCAAAGCTGAGTTTATCATGCATCTCCTGCATGCACCGCTTTCTGTATTTCTTTAGACATCCTTCATCTTCTTCCTTAAGCAATTCGTACTCTTGGACACTCATCTGAAAAAAATTAATTAAAACAATATTTAGGATGTATATTGGCTATGGAATTTGATAATTTGTGATTTATAATGATTGCTAGATGCATGCATTCATTCATTCAGGCAAGTGATTTCTAAAATAACTGCGAGAAGCTCTCACCAGACTTTTGTTTGCACTTTTCTTTTCTGTACTAGTGCTACACAAAGATATAGCTGTTTCATAATGCACAGTGTCCAAAGATCATCATCAAAGGCACAGTGTTTGCTGCCCATCAAAGTAAAAGTCTACAGTCTGCTGTGGTCTGCTTGGTTGTACCTTGCGGTTGAGGTTTGCTCTGGAGTTATCTTTTGGCTTGTTTGGGGATGACATTTGTCTCAGCAGTTCCTTTTTTGCTTGTGGCAAGTTTTCCTGGTCCATACTTTCCAACTTAAACCTTCTCCAGTCATTGATGACTCCTTTTGGACCTATGGAGAAAGCAAATAGCATTTTGTATTCAGTGACTGAAGCATAGTGACAAGTATATCTCAGGCTAGCCAACTTTGTAGCATCCTTTAATTCACTTCTTAAAACTCACTTTTATCGAAAAGCCTTTTCTTAAATTGTAACTGTTTAAATCCTGTTTTGGTTTTATTTTTTTATGCTCCTCATTGTTTTACTCTATTATATGATATACTTTCTATTCTTTATTCTGTTTTGTTGTAAAGCACTTCATAACAGCAGAAAAGTGTTATATTAATAAATGATTATTAATAGTATTAGTGTATATATCTTAAATATTTAGTAAGATGGTGTAAAGGCAGGATGAGGCAACAAAAAGTCCTCGTCCAGCTAGAGTAACTTTGTTGGGGTTTCATAACGTAGCAATGATATGTTAAGAGGCCTTGAAGCAGTCAGCTAACCTTTAGTCTGTTAGCCTCTAGCCCTAACCCCTGCCTGCTAGCCTCCAGCCTGCTAGTAAGCAGCCTTGTGTTTCTGGACACCTCCACTGCCGCGCCCCACTTGGTCAGCATGTCCAGGCCAACAATACAGGGTTCTTGTATGCTGGCCAGCCAGAATTGGTGATTGGCGTACTCTCCCCAGTGCATGTAGTCTTCACTCTGGCCTACTGGCCTCCACCCTGCCCATCAGTCAGCTAACCTCCAGCCTTCACTCCGGCCAGCTAGTGACCGGCCATTTTCTTTTGCTTTGTAAAATGATAATGTGCAGCTATGAATATTCGGTGGGTATTGTGTATACTGTTTTAATTTACGGATTAAGGCTTCATCCCAGCATTCTAGGAAGTGCACTAATTGCATCCCTGTTGCATAAGAAGAAGATTAGCGTAGCATGTACACTGCCAAAGCTCAACAGATCTGTGCTTTGCTTTGGTCTTCCTGGATAAGTAGTTGCTCTGTAATCAATGCTTTTGCTTTGCTATTTATAACATTCTGTTAATTAAGTTAATGATTTAAATCTATTAAAAGCACAAATAAAATAACACTGACTAATAACAGAAATTTATGTTTGCACAGATAGATAGACCAGATCCACTGTCGAAGGCCCAAACACAAAAGCTAACAGGTTGTAAAAATTGCTGTGTGATGTTTGAAAACACTGTTTCTACTCACCTGTGTGGGTTGCGGTCTCTTCCAGATCAATAATTCTGTCAGACATTTTTCTGGTTAGCAATCTGTAAGACAAAACAAAGAGAATCAGCCTGCGTTAAAGGAGGTCATTCATATAATGTAGATTGCATGATTCGGACTTTTGATGTTTGAATGAATTATTATTTTACTTCTTTAAGGTGTTAATGGCCTGTAACACTTGCTTGGTCTCATTGTTCTCAATTAGATAATTGTATAGCTATAGATTTAAAACCTTTGCACTGTGAGAGAGCAACTGGATACCAAGTGAGTCCCATGATATTTAATTAAATTAATGTAGTCTAAGAAGATTACTGAAATAGAACAGATCACTCTCTTGCTTGCTGTTAGCCCTTAGCGCTGCTGTGTTAAAATGGAACAGATGGAATTAGGAACTAAAAGCATGAAACCATAAAGAAAAAAACCAAACACAATCATACAAACACAACAACGGCAAGAACAACATATATGTGCGTATCAAACATAATTGATGCATTTATTTCTACATTAAAAGTGTTCCATATTATGACGTGTGATTTCATGTGCACATAATTGTTCATCATTTACACACACAAAATCCATTTTAATCTCACACTGTTTTGTAATTCCTGTGGTATCAGTGTTTGGACCAGCAGATGTGTGTGACGTGTGGACAGCCAGTGTCCAATTGGATAAAATGGTTTCAGTTAGTTCCCTCCTGCTGATCTGGGCTGATGATCTTTGTGGCAACCTCTCCAACCCCGAAATCCACAAGTAGAGATTTGCCATGATTAGTTCTAGCATGAGCAACTGAAGTCATATATAAATGTTTCACTTCAGTACATGTATGTGTGTGTGTAAGAGACACAATAAACAATAAACTCTTGTAAACAGCTGACTTTCAATTAGACACAGACCCATGACTAAATTATGAACGAAAAGAAAGAAACGTTTGTTCTCATTTTATGCAGAAGCCTTTTCTTTAAAACAAGAAAGAAACTAAATCAAAATTGGTAAAACATCTCTATATGATACCTAATGTTGCAACAAAGTGTTAATGGCAAATTATGTACATGAAAAATCAACATGCCCCCCGAAATCAGTCTTGAATGTATGTAAAAACATACAGATCAAATAACTTCTCCTATTACATCCATTCAAAACCAAACTTTCAATTTGTAAACACTTGTACACAAGTTTTAGCTGATTTCACTCCATTATCTTAAAAAATAAGAGACGTCAATAACGTTTTTCTTACCTCTCACAAGTCCTCCCTTTGTATCAGTAGCTAACCTTGCACTGGTCTACACTTGATCACTTCAGTAAGCTAATGTGTGGCTGGATGGTGTGTGTTTTTGTGTGCATGCGTGTATCTTTTCCAGCCAATGAGCTTGGTCTAATGGAGATTTCAAAAAAGACCCTATTGACCAAACAGAAATAGTGCATAGATCCTAAGAGGATTTCTCTTCAGGAATTAGAAGCCTCTACTTGATAAAGGCCCAACTACACACAATGAAGAGAGTGAGAGAGAAAGAGAGACAGGGAACTGTGTTGCATTTCACTATTATAAACAGCACATTAAGAGTTAACTCAAACAAGGGCACAATATCCCTGAGATGAACTCTCAAATAAAGTGATCTTGTCTGGAATTCAAAGTTCTGCAAGGCATAGCGCTTCACACGAAATTGAACACATGATGGGAATCTTTCAAAATACAAAACACTGCTAGCGGCTGGGGAAAAGTTAGTGATGCTTTATCATGTGCTTCTTCATTATTTTCAACACAAACACCACCCTATAGTCTCTTCTCCCTGCGTAAACCTTTCTTCTTGTAGCTCACCACAAGTAGCATTAAAGCTAAAACAATACTTTTTTATATTCACAATATAAAAAATACATATGTATAGAGCAAACATAACATAGCAAATGTTTTATGGTTAAGCACATAAGTTCTTGAAGTTATGGGGGAATTAAATTATTAAAAAGTTGTAATTCTACTTCTAGTTTTAGTAATTTCATGGTTTTATGTCTCCATCTCTCAAGAATTTCCGCTTTTCACTGGTGGAAGAAGTATTGAGATGTTTTACTTGGTAAAAGTACCGATACTCCAATGTAAAAACATGCAATCAAAATCTTACTTAAGTACAGTATTATCACCAAATTTTGCTCAAAGTATCAAAGTTAGTGTACTCATAATGCAAAATGGACCATGTCAGAGTGTCATAACTATATGATTTGAGTTTAATTACAGATTCATAAACATGTAAGCAGCAGTTTAATGTTGTCGTGTTGGGTAGTTTAAACTGTAACAATGAATATTGTATAGCCGTCATCTGTTTTACATATAAAAATCTTAACTATCATTTAGTGGAGTAAAAAGTACAATAGTTCCCTCTGAAATGTAGTGAAGTAGAAGTATAATGCTTCATAAAATAGAAATACTTAAGTACATCAAAATTTAAGTAAGAATGTACTTAGTTATATTCCAAAACTATTGAGCAATCCATTATTCTCATCAACACAAGTACCAAAAAAAGTTACATATTCATTTTATTATATATAAGGGTCTCTGTGACAGTTTCCCTGTTCTGCTCATGGATGTATGAGTGCCAGCATAACTTTATATTCCCCTTTGAGAAGTTGTTAATAGTGCATATTCTCAGGTTTTGGTTTCACCTCACATGCTGCAGTGTGAAAAGAAATACCTTTCATGCTGAATGCTGAATCACTGCACTGCAAATAGGAAGGGTGAATACTCTCCACACCCTCGTGGTATTTTCTAGGAGAGCTCATGCAACCGTGTTTGACTCCTGTCCTTCGCCTCTGTGTCTACGTCCTGTATTTATTGGCTTAAAGGATTACAAGACTTTTTTATTCAGGCACACACAGTATGGTGTCAGGTGGGGTTTCATTATTCTCAGTCACTCATTAAGCATAGGTTGCTTAAAATGGATTCAGCAGATTATTTAGCACCTTCTGTTCTAGAAAAAATTCTGTCAGCTACAGCAGAGTCCAATATTAGCCTCTATCTATCTATCTATCTATCTATCTATCTATCTATCTATCTATCTATCTATCTATCTATCTATCTAATAAACAATTTGTGTGTTTCCTGTAAAAGAACTGATAATGTGTTCAGACAACCAAAGAACACAAATCACATACTACTGTATGTGCACGTAGGCAACATTACCTAGAATTCAATTAGCAGAAACCTTGCATAGGAGTGTCTTGATGGGTACAAAGGATTGTGTATGTGTGCTCCATTCAGAGTCGCTCTGTTACATCATTATGGATCATTGGATCACTTCTCTTGGCAGGACAGCAGGGTCACACTGGGCCAGCTCTTCAACACCTTTAAGCAGTCAACGTTCAGCCTTTGTGATTTGGGCCTAAAATAATAATGCAGTTCTGCTTGTTGACATTCTCACAAGACCTTACATGGCTCATCCACTTCAGACTAATTGGTTTCATAATACAGTTTTTCTCAATTGCTTAAACACTATAAGCAGGCTTTTGAAAAAATTTCAAAACCATAATTCCATTTTTAAAAAACACACCCACTTCCCTAAACTCTACACACAACTACCTTCCTTTCTCATTGCCTACACCATGTGCTCATTGAGAAAGCACTAACTTTCAACACCTTTAAGCAGTCAACGTTCAGCCTTTGTGATTTGGGCCTAAAATAATAATGCAGTTCTGCTTGTTGACATTCTCACAAGACCTTACATGGCTCATCCACTTCAGACTAATTGGTTTCATAATACAGTTTTTCTCAATTGCTTAAACACTATAAGCAGGCTTTTGAAAAAATTTCAAAACCATAATTCCATTTTTTAAAAACACACCCACTTCCCTAAACTCTACACACAACTACCTTCCTTTCTCATTGCCTACACCATGTGCTCATTGAGAAAGCACTAACTTTCAATATTGTTCACTCAAGTCAGCATTGGTTGAGCTCAATTAGTACACAACTACCAGGTGGAAACACATACTGTCATACCTTATCATACACCAATCAGATGCTTCAATACATAGATAAAAGGGCCAGTGTCAGTTCATTCAGTTTTCGAACAATGGATCCAGAAAGATGTGAAGGAAGAGGTAGAGGACACCAGAGAGGAGAAGGGGGAAGATAAGGGGGAGGAGGAAGAGCAGTATGTAGAGAGGAGTAATAGGTGAAGGAAGGGGAACAGTAGGAGTTAGAGGAGGAGAGGGGATAGGAGGAATGTGAGGAGGTGGAGGAGGACTAGGAGGAAGCGGAGGAGGAGCAGGGCAGAGGAGCAGGCCAAAAACAGGATGCTTGGGCAGAATAATTAGTTGTTTGGTGTGTTGTACTTCACAGTACACTAAGGAATAAAAAATGTGTGCAAATGTGCAAATGTATACATTTGTTATTTCTTTTGTTGTGTTCATCATGTGAAAAATCTTTTGAGGGGGAGAACCACAAGCAACATAAGTAATAACCAGTTTTTGTAGTATTGTTTTGTATTTATCTTACCAGTGTGTAAAACTGTGTTGTAGTGTGTGTTTTTGAGGGCTTGTGTGTTATGTCTGAGTGAAAAGTTTGGTTTTTCAGCAAGATTGAATGGTTTTGAGTGGAGAGCTTCATTTTGACCTGAAAAGGATGTTTGGAGAATTGGGTGAGAAGTTGTGGATTTGTGTTTTGATAAAAAGAGGCATCATTTCAAGAAATGTGTTGTGAAAAACTGTAAATACATATCCTGTCTACCAAAAGGATTTTATTGTTTTCCTGTATATATCTTTGCAAAAATATGTCATATAATCTTAATTATGTAGTGTTTGTGTTTTATCCAAAGTATACAATTTGTTGAATACTTTTTTAAAATTTATTTTGCACTGGGTACAGCAACAAATTAACCAAGCTATTTTCTTAGTTTTATATAATTCTTGCTATGTCCCCTCACACTGCATCATTTCTGACTTTAACATATGAACACTTCCATAAATAGTAAATAGCTAAATAGTTTGAAAAAAGTTGCATTTACTATGATCTCCTCAGTTGTATGCAAGTAAAGAAATACA